AATCATGATAGCACTCGGGCAAGATTTTTTAAATTGAGTAGGATTTCCTCAGATGGAGGTGGACAAAAGGAGGACAAGGCAAAAGGTAGAGGAAATGGTACAAGTGAAGACACCGGTGCTGGGTAAGCTGCATCCAGTGAGGGATTATATTGACAAAGGGAGGGCAGGAGGAACCAAGATGATAACTTTTTTAATTAAGATAAAATTTGCCAACAAAAATTCCCTATTTTAACTATTTTTAAGTATATAATTAAGTGGTTTTTAGTATATTCACAGTGTTGTAAAATACTACCACTATCTAACTCTAGAACATTTTTATCACTCCAAAAGAAACCCTGTACCCACTCCCGATTCACATCCAGCACCTGGCAATTTCTAATCTACTCTCTGTCCCTTTCTTTTTCTTCTCTCCTTCTGGGAATCTCAATATGTGTATGTTGGTCCACTTGATAGTATCCTATACATCTCTTAGGCTCTGTTCATTCTTCTTCATTCCTTTTTATTTCTCTTCCTCAGCCTGGCTAATCTGTAAGTTTACTGATAATTCTGCTTGTTCACATCTGCTGTTGAGTCCCTTTAGTGAATTTTTCATTTCAGTTATTTGTACTTTCTAACACCAGATTTTCCACTGGATTCCTTTTTATAATTTCTGTCCTTTTCCTAATATTCTCTATTTGGTAAAATATGATTCTCCTGGTTTATATTTTATTTACTATTTGTCTACTTTAGCATTACTAACAAATTGAAGTTCCAAGATTTCCTCTTGCCTTCCCTGACACGATAACTTTAACCCCATGGTTCAGAGAGCCAGTGTGAGCATCTGCCAGATGCCAAGAATATCTGTTCTGACTACTGACTGAGGAGCTGGGGAAAATAGCCACAGAATGGGTTTACAGACTTGTGAAACTTAATGTGAGGTGGATTTGTGCCAGAGCACCATATATTCTCTGGCCCCCATAAACGTCCCCTCTGTTGTAAGACGTCAGCACCAGCATCAATAAGCTCACAAAAGTTTTAGGGTTTCCTTTTCTGTGGTGCATTTACACTGGTAAGCATCTGAAGCTCCCTTTCTACTAGTCTAGGAAGATGTACAGCATCTCGTAATGTTGCCACAATGTCTTTCTTCAAGGATTCCTGACCTCCCTTTGATCACGGGGGGTCTATGAATTGTCTTAGGTCTTGGAATTGGTTGAAGGGCCATGACTTTCCCATACATGTAAGCAGTCAGCCTTCTGTCTGCCAGATCTAGATTTCTTTTTTTTTTTTTTTTCTATTTTTGAGACAGAGTCTTGCTTTGTCACTCAGGCAGGAGTGCAGTGGCACAATCTCGACTCACTGCACCCTCCACGTCCCAGGTTCAAGTGATTCTCCTTCCTCAGCCTCCCGAGTAGCTGGGAATAGAGGCACCCACTACCATGCCTGGCGGAGTTCACCATGTTGACCAGGTTGGTCTTGAAATCCTGGCCTCAAGTGATCTACCTGCCTCGGCCTCCCAAAATCCTTCCCTCCCCTCCCCTCCTTTCCCTTTCCTTTTTTTTCTTTCTTTCTCTGCCTTTCTTCTTTATTTCCCTCTCTCACTTGCTCGCTCTCTTTTGCCCCTTCTTCTTTCTCGTGTCTTGCTTTCTGATATACCAATCAGTCTGCCCTTTCCTAGGAGGTCCGTCTATTTTTCAGTCCTAGGAGCTCTATCATCAATCATTTGGATGACTTCCTTGGCCCCACTTCCTATTACAATGACCACATCCACTTTGTCTCTGGAAGTTGAGCATAGCTACAGGGTGTACTGTGTTTGTACTCTAGGACCCAATCACCCACACCGAGCTCAGGGACCCACTTTAATGGCAGCATTGCCCATGTTCATCTCTGAGCTTCTGAGGATGCCTGCCTCTGTGCTTTTCAAGGATGCTGACACGTGATACTTTCTAAAGTGAATGTGTTCTGGGTCTTCTCACAAGTTAGGAACTAGCTGATTGAGTTGCAATTTGAACTCTCCTTTCTTCCTAATACTTTGGATCATTTTGTTCAAATTATACCTAGCAACTTTTGGCATCTCGTCTTCATTCAGCATAGCTTACCATTGAGTCCATAGTTCAAGTAACTGAGCAAGAACCCCTTCCAGCTGCCAGAGTTAGCTAGCACATTGAATCTGGACACTATCAAACATGCCCATATAAGTAAATTCTGCACAATCTAAAATTAGGTTTCCCCTTTGCTAATCTAGGAAAGACACTAAATATCCATTCCCACTGTATAATCCCTAGGTTTTAACCACTATAAATTTAGCAAAATCTTGAAATTATTTTGGTGTGTAAGCAGTCTTCTGAGTGTAACTCGGTGATTTTCCCTATGTTCAATTAATCTAATTCCAGGTGTAGAGGTAAAGATGGAATGGTAGCATGGGCAGAGTCAGTTTCACAGGCCTCTGACCATGCAGCCACACAGAGCCTTGTGCTTCAGAGGGTCCCACGCTTGGTTTAATGCTCTGCTGTTGCTGCCTTGAAATTCTCAATAATTTTTTAACAAGGGACTCTGAATTGTCACGTTGCACTGGGGTCCCACAAATCACGCAGCTGGTCCTGACAGTGGAGCATGAGGACAACTGGGCTCTTTATACAAAGGAACTATCTCAGTAAAGGCCATGATGTGGTCCTTAAGCAGGGTAAGGACAGCTTCATCAGACAGGGAAGGAGCGCTGTTTCTGCTAGCAGGAAAGCCTAGTGGGGCTTATGAGTTTACGGTAATTGGACTGAATGTATCTATTAAGATCCTTCATTGACAATTAGTTACTGAGATTTTTGAATGAGTTGTGGCAAGGCTATCTGACTTCAACCTAAGTTGTCCTATGTCTGGGATTTTTGGCTATGTTGGCTTTGTGGTTGAATCAATGGGCTTTCTGGGTATTTTTGGCCATAGCTTAGGTCAAAATGTTTCTTTTTCTTTTGAGATGGAGTCTCACTCTGTTGCCCAGGCTGGAGTGCAGTGGCACAGTCTCAGCTCGCTGCAACCTCTGCCTCCTGGATTCAAGCTATTCTCCTGCCTCAGCCTCCTGACTAGCTGGGGTTACAGGCACCCACCACCACGCCCTGCTAATTTTTGTATTTTTAATGGAGGCGGGGTTTCACCATGTTGGCCAGGCTGATCTCGAACTCCAGTAGGTCAAGAATTTAAACCCATGCTAGCTATGGCCCACATGCTGCTGTCTTGATTTCTGGGGACTGTAGTTAGAAGATTCTAGACTCTACCTGGCTCCTGTTACTACGTGAGTTTGGAAGTCCCTTGGGCTCCTTGCACCACAAAGGGAAACTAAATAATGGCCTGGATCTCCGAGATAGTGCCCGGACGGGCCGGCTACCATGCGTCAAGGTCCGAATCATTCTTAGTGTGTGAAGTGTAATGTATTCCTACAGTTAACAGGTGATGGGGCAGCAGTGGATGACAGTGCGGCAGATAACATGGACCTGGGGTGTCCCCTGTGGCAGGAGATCTCAGTGTGCTTTTCTGAACACATTGATTAATGTCGCTGCTTGTCCCTGGTGAGGAGCCAGGCAGGAGAACACTGCTTTTCTGCAGGTGTGCTGAAACACAGAAATCCCAGGGCAAGATGGGGTGAGGCCATATCCAGACAGGGCCAGCAGAGCAGGCTTGAATTCAGGCTCCTCAATGCCCCAGGTGTTACTCACAGGCATTCCCCTAAAGGAACTAAATCACTTTTCCAGGCCAAAGCTGGAAATCCTGAAATCTCCCTGAGCCAAAAGAAACACTCATCATCTCACCGTTGTGGTTGAAATCGCTGTTTGTATTTATTGGAAAAGCAGAACAGAAAGCACCTGGAGGGGTGCAGCTTCCACGGGCTGTACATCACCCTTAGGCTGGCCAATCCCTTGCGGGGGAGCAAAGCTGCTTTGTGGAAATGTCCCCAGGAGGAAGAAACTGGAAGATGCACCTGCTATTGCACCACGCTATGGAGAACACAGCTGACGAAGTGGTGGCAGAGCTTGGCCGTGTGAGTGCCTCAGGTAAAAGTCTCCAGTCTGTCCAGGCCAGAGCAGAAACTTCTCCTCCTTGGACAGCAGCCTGCCAACTCAAGCGACGTGAGAGTCATCTCCCTGGCCAGGCACAGTGGCTCACACCTGTAATCCTAGCACTTTGGGAGGCCAAGGCAGGCAGATCACCTGAGGTCAGGAGTTCGAGACTAGCCTGACCAACATGGTGAAACCCCGTCTCTATTAACAAAAATACAAAATTAGCTGGGCATGATGGCACGCAACTGTAATCCCCGCTACTTGGGAGGCTGAGGCGGGAGAATCACTTGAATTCAGGAGGCAGAGGTTGCAGTGAGCTGAGATCATGCCATTGCAATCCAGCCTGGGCGACAAGAGCAAAACTCCACTTCAAAAAATAAAAAAGATGCATCTCCCCAGACTGGCTGCTAGTGCAAGAAGCACCCAGCTTTTCTAAAGGCGGGAGAGTGAAAAGTGACAGTGTGTGCCATTTCCACTGCAGAAGACCCTGCCGTGTCTAGGCGGTCTCTAGGGGGCAGATCCTGATGAGGGGCCAGAAGGCTTTACTGCTGGAACAGCAGGGAAGGGCTATTATTGGGTTAAAAGGCCATGATCAAAAGATAACCAAGAGAAAGCCACTTGACTTCTGAATCACACAGAACCTGCTCAAATGTACCTGAGCCATAAGTATAGTGAATATTCTCATTTTTCCTTATAGTACTGTGTTAAAAATTTTCTTGCCAGGTGCGGTGGCTCAAGCCTGTAATACCAGCACTTTGGGAGGCCGAGGCGGGTGGATTACGAGGTCAAGAGATCGAGACCATCCTGGTCAACATGGTGAAACCCCGTCTCTACTAAAAATACAAAAAATCAGCTGGGCGTGGTGGCGCGTGCCTGTAATCCCAGCTACTCAGGAGGCTGAGGCAGGAGAATTGCCTGAACCCGGGAGGCGGAGGTTGCGGTGAGCCGAGATAGCGCCATTGCACTCCAGCCTGGGTATTTTCTTTCCAGAAAGGTGAAGTGCTTTGGTGGATAAGGAATTGACGTCAGGACAAGTGCTAGGATGAACAAATATTCCTATCAAATAAACAAGACCTGCTGCTGGGGCAGGGAGCGGGGGTTGTTTGCATAAAGAGGAAGAGACTGGAATCCTGAAATGGGCCCTTTGGGAGCCTGGCTGGGAGTGAGGTCAGGTCACATGATCCCAGTAGGTTAGGAGGTGTCTTTGCAGAAGTCCAGAGCATCTTGGGGCACCTCACTTTGAATTCAGAGACATTGGAAACAATTACTGAGCAAACATGGAGAAACAATATAGCAGTGGCTGAGCTACTGCTCAGGTTCTCTCTATTTAGGAAGCAGTTTGATGACCCACAACAGGCTGATCAAGGCAACTGCCCCCTGTGTTAATGCGGCCCATAGGTATCATCTTCAATCCTTAGTAGCTGGTGTTGGAAATCAGGTGTAATTTATCTTGTTTAATTACCAGCTGCCCTGCTCCTCAGTTCCCTCCCCTGTGATGAGCTCATTCAGTCTTTACCTGCCTCAGCTGGAAGGGAAATGCTGGCTGGATAGGGAGGCCCTGTGTGTGTTGATTTTCAGGCATCTTGGGTGCTTTGCAAGGCCACAAATCCCTTCCAAAGATATGGACAGTGAAGCACCAGCAGGTTCCAGCACTAGCTCAGCTCACTCATCAGGACTGATGGTTGACCTGGACTGCGGAGCTGAGGACCACCCTGATTTTCTTCTGAAATAAAGGCTAAGCCCCTTGATGTCTTTTACGCTAGAGATTCTAAAATGTTCTCTCCCCATCAGGGCTCTTTCCTGGCCGCTTGCAGGCCAGCACACAGCACTCAGGGGTCCCGCTGCTTCTGGACTTCCATGCACTGCGTCTGGGGTCAGGCCAGGAAGGAGCAGCACCCAAGGGGAAGGCAAGACTTGCATTTTATCCATTTAGACTACCAAATGCGTGATTAAAAACGAAAACTCCTACAACGCTTGAAACAGATGCATGTACAAAACCTCACTCATTCTCCATTGCCGCCAGGATTGGCCCTGCACACCCAGCAGCCCCCGTCCCGTTAACCCCGCAGGTAGGGGGCGCGCACGGGCCCTGGGGCGTTGATGTGCGGCAGCACGCCCACAGCCAGCTTCTCGCTGAGTTTCTGATTCGCCAGCTCCAGGTGGCGGCCCTTCTTGCGCGCCTGCCGCAAGGACCTCTTGACCTTCTTCACCCGCTCCCGGAGCTGCCGGTTGCGCTTCTCCAGGGTGGCGACTTTCTGCTGCAGTTTCTTCACGTGGTCCTCCTCCTCGAACAGGGCCTTCTGCACCGAGGAGCACATGAGCTGCAGACAGAAACACCGCGCAGGGAGAGGAGGTGAGTCCCAGAAACTGCCCTGGGGGCAGGGGAGTCAGGAGCTTTCCGGGGGCTGACAGCGGCACAGACCCAGACCCCCGACCCCAGGATGGGGATAAACCCAGGATGTCCTTGACGGTGACATTCCCTGCCCCCCACCCGGCGAATCCCTCCCTGGTCTCAAATATAGAGCCCTTGTTTTGCTTTCCGTACTTGGCTCCCTTGGAAGATGTCGTTTTAAAAGGATATTCTGAATAATTGTCATGCATAGCAAAAAGGAAAGAGCCCTGCTTTGGTAACAGACCAAAACCAGAAATGCAGACAGAAGGTGGATGGTTCCGCAGATGGTGGGGAGTCAGTAGCCTAATTAACAAAGGCTGAGCCACTTACATCGGCAAAGACTCTGATCAATGTCGGTCAGCCCAACTGAAGGCGGGGTTCCCTTCAGCAAAAAGGGGCTCCGTTTGCTTCCTTCAACTGGGCTGGCCAGCACACAGTTTCCTTTCCCAAGAAAGGAAACAGTATCTTTAAAGGTATGAAAAGACACTTAACCCCACTCATAATAAGATAAACAGCAAATGAAAGCCACAGTGAATTGCTATTTTTCACAGATTGGCAAAATTGCAGTCAGGATTTGGGAAAACAGGTGCTGTCATACAGTGAGTAGAGTGTTGACTTCTGTAAAGACCAATTTGCCTCTGTCAAAGTAACTGCATGTACCCCTCGATCTGGTGACTGTGGGACTATCTCATATAAATCCTCTCATACGTGCAAGCTGCCACATGTACAGATATGGCATTATTTGCTGTATTAAAAGATTGGGAACAAAAGTCTCCCTTAAGAGAGGTCTGGTTCAATAAATTATAGTAAATCCATACAAAGCAAAGGTTTGCCGTTTTTAAAGGAACAAGACAGCTCCGTGTGAATGGTACTGTAGCAATAGCTAAGCGGTGTTCATACTGAAAAGCTGTGCAGAATAGTGTGGATAGTGTGATGCCAAGAGTGTGAAATATGGTATCCATCTGTGTCTGTTTAAATATGCACACACTATCTCTGGGGGAATATACAAGCGACTGGTAAGGATGGCAGTATCCGGGGAGCAGAGAGGACAGGAGTAAGAAGATTGATTTTCACATTTGTGCTTTTTGAATTGTGTATGTCAAAGGTTTGGTTGTGTCCCCCCAAAATCTCATCTTGAATTATAGCTCCCAAAATCTCCATGTGTCGTGGGAGGGACCCAGTGGGAGGTAATTGAATCATGGGGGTGGGTTTTTCCCATGCTGGTCTCGTGATAGTGAATAAGTCTCACGAGATCTGATGGTTTTATAAAGAGCAGTTCCCCTGAACGCTCCATTGTCTGCCGCCATGTAAGACATGACTTCACGCCTTGTTTGCCTTCCACCGTGGTTGTGAGGCCACCCGAGGCATATGAAACTGTGAGTCCGTTAAACCTTTCCTTTATAAATTACCCAGTCTCAGGTATGTCTTAGCTGTGTGAGAACAGATTAATGGTAATAATGCTGGCACTTCCTTTAGGTGTGTGCATGCATATATAAAAAGAAGTATTCTCATCTCCAATCTCCCACTCATTTTATATCATCAAAAGCTATGTTCCCAAGGAAAGACTTGAGCCTCAACTTTCCTCTGTTTAGAAATCCATCGAGCCCCACTGTCCACACTGCAGTATGGTGGTGATTGGTTAAGAGGTCAGACTCTGAGGCTAGGCTGCTTTGGTTTCCAGTCCTGCCTCTTCTGCTGACAAGTGGCGTGACCCTGGGCAAGCTTCCTAGACTCAGAATAGTGGACTCTGGACTGCGTTAGCCAGAACCCACTTCAGTACTAAAGAATTTATTTCCTCAGCTTCTTGGAGTGTTGCAGACTGACATCCCTTAGCTGTGTCTGTCTCTGGACACTGAGCCTGACCAAAAAGAGCTGCCGAAGGCCCCGCCCCCTTCTTTGGGGCACCTGCATCTAAGGACTGGTTGACCCAAGTGTGTGAACACCAAGGCCTCTCATCCCAACTTGGAAGATCTCTGCAGGGTGGTCCCCACTGCAGGGTGCCCTGGGGTAGGCTCCAGCCTTTGTTGAGGCTGGATCACAGGCCTACATCTGCCCCCGCCTGTTCTGGCTCTTTCCTCCCCAGGTGTTGATCCCAGGAGCATTCTTGAAAACACCTGCACGTCCTATTCCCAAGTATCTGTCTCTGGGAACCTGGCCACTCTCAATGGGATAATCATGGTCGTTGGGAGGTTTTGTGAGTTTTACTTAAAGTGTTTAGAACTATTCCCTGGTGCACAGGAAACGTTCACTGTTAGCCATGATTATAGGACAGAGTCAAATCTCCTAAAGCCTTTAACGTGTGTGATTGGCCCCAGCCAACATCTCCAGTCTTACTGTTCATTCTTCTGTTCCCACACTTTACCCAAAACCCACTGGCTCCCAGCTCTTCCTCCAGCACATCAGCCCTTTCTCATCCCAGAGGCTCTTCCTTCCACCTGGAGCGCTGTTCTCCCCCAGCTCCTCCTGACCATCTCAGAAGCCCTCTGCGGTCCCTTGCACAATGCTTGCCACCGGGTCTCCCTCTGTATGTCACGGGTCCCCTCCCCAGTCTCCATGGCACCCTTTAGCTATTCACACCCACACACCAAGTACCTGGGGGCACTAGGAGAATGACTGAAGGCCCTTGACAATCAGGGATAACAAGCTTTTGAAGGCCTGGTTCACGTTGGTCTTTGCATCCTTGTTGCCCTGGCCATTTTAGGCCTACAATTAAGAAAAAGCTCTAGGCTCCCGGGAAGCCACAGTTACAGGGGAGACCGTATGTGCAATACTGCCCTCTTCTGTCCAAAATGAGACACCCCCCCCCACCCAAATAAAACATGAGAAGGTGGGCACCGGAAATTCCTGGGAGCACTAGCAGTATTTCTACTGTCTGTGGGTAGATATTAGCTATGTAACTTAGGCTTTAATATGGCCACGTACCAGCTAAGAACTGTATATTGACACTCTCTCATTAAGTCATGAGTTTTCTATAAGTTATGGTAGATTTTTCAAGAACGAGACAAAAGAGTCCAGGTGAAGTCTGTTACAACAAGGGGACTGGGGTTTTGCAGGGCTGTCTGTTCAAATTTTTAAAGAGAACCCACTAGTGGCTGGAACGTAACATGAATGAGGAGGTGAAGGAAGGCTCCATGACGGTCTTCAGAAGCTGTGTTTACAAATTGTAAAAAAAACAGAGGAGGATGAGTGGTCACTTGTTAAGAGTTCTTTCTGTCTGGGCATGGTGGCTCATACCTGTAATCCCAGCAATTTGGAAGGCTGAGGCGGGTAGATCACCTGAGGTTGGGAGTTCAAGACCAGCCTGACCAATATAGTGAAACCCCATCTCTACTAAAAATAGAAAAATTCGCCAGGAGTAGTGGCACCTGCCTGTAATCCCAGCTACTCAGGAGGCTGAGGCAAAAGAATTGCTTGAACTCAGGAGGCATATGTTGCAGTGAGCGGAGATTGCGCCATTGCACTCCAGCCTGGGTGACAGAGACTGTGTCTCAGAAAAGTTCTAAGACACAACACTCTTTGTAGTCAGCCGTCGATTATAGACAGCTGTTCTCCAGGGGAGCAAGAGGATGAATTTCACCTCCAGCAAGACTTAGAACCCAGACAAAAGGATGACCTTGACCCAGCTGTGTGTGTATCTGGAGGGGGAGGTATCACTGAGATGGGAATGATGAATTCCCCAGCAAGGTTGAATGTGGAAAGAGCAGGTGGGATGAGTGGAGTTCCTTAGCGAATGAGTCGTGCTTTGGTCCTCAGGGTCTCTAATGCGGGTAGGGTTGAGTGGGAGCAGAAGGCATCAAAGGACTCTAGCAACGTAGCTCACATGACCAACATAGTGCAGCCATGACCCAGGACTCCTCAGCAGGCAGGTCTGTATCTTTGCAGCAAAGTGGGCCATACCTCTGAGTAGCAAGAACCTATATTGTGTGAATTGAGGCTAATGTCATAAAATAACCAAGCCACTGTGGATGGAGATGATGGAACCTTCCTGGATCCCAGCTATCGCCTCAAAGAAAATCCTGGGTTTCTTAAGAAAGCCAGAATTTCTAGAGGAGAGCTGTGCTTTCCAAAATGTGTGCTTAAGAAATGCTCCTTTCTTTGGAATGCTTTCCAAATGAAATCTATCTCCTTTTAAAACGGCTTACAAAAAAAAAGAAAAGAAAAAAAATGGGCCAGACATGCTGTTTGCTCATTTTGCTTTGTGGCATTTTTTTGGTAAACTGAGAAGAGCAGGGGGAAGCCCAGGCCAGGCTGAAACAGGGACTGCCCTATTTTATTTGAAGAAGAACCAAGGAGAAAGTCCTACAGGGCAGCCCGAAAGCAACAGACTCCTCATAGGCAGGCCCCCCGCAGGGCTACAGCACTCCAGAGCTCCCACGTGCTTGGGTACCTCCGGCATTCCCCTGCCGCAGAGTTTTTCTCTGGAAGTTTCCATGTGGCCAAGAGGATGCCTGCCTCAGGGCAGATGGGAAGATTGCCCAGTGAGCCTGCTCTTTTATTTTCAAAAAGACATAGGCTGGGATATCCATTCTTTCTCATCTGTCTAAAATAACACTTTTTCAAATCAGCAAAGCACAAATAGATTGTAGAAAAACTTTTAAAAATTGTACCGAAAAAAGGAAAATCAAAATCATCTATGATTCTGTGTTACAGAGATAGCCACTGTGGACACTGTAATATATTTCTTCCTAGTATTGTTTCTACAGGTGTGAATAGATAATTATTTCAAACAAAACTGGAGCCCTGCTGTTACTCGGTTTTCTGATCTAATTTTTCCCCCTTTCATTTTATCATGACTGTTTTCCAGTCATTGGTCTGTACACTTTCCATGAGTATTTCACGGGAGCAGGAGGAGGGAGCATCTGGTGGTTAGGCTGGCCGTGAGGACTAACTCATTAGGCAAGACTGGCTCACTAGACTGGATGTGTGGCC